TGGTATCTGCTGTAATATCTCCTGTTTTGTTTCTAATTAGGCTTATTTGGATCTTCTCTCTTCTTGGTTAATCTTGCTAATGGTCTATCAATTTTATTTATCTTTTCAAAGAACGAGCTTTTTATTTTATTTATCTTTTTTTTTTTTTTTTTTAAGACGGGGTTTCACCATGTTGGTCAGGCTGGTCTTGAACTCCCGACCTCGGGTGATCCGCCCGCCTTGGCCTCCAAAGTGCTTGGATTATTTGATTTATCTTTTGTATTTTTGTTCATTTCAATTTCATTTGGTTCTGCTCTGACCTTGGTCATTTCTTTTCTTCTGCTGGGTTTGGGTCTGGTTTGTTCTTGTTTCTCTGGCTCCTCGAGATGTGACCTTAGATGGTCCGTTTGTGCCCTTCAGACATTTTGACTGCAGGCATTTAATGGTCTGGTCCTCCCTCTTAATTTAATGGTATGGTCCTCCCTCTTAATTTAATGGTATGGTCCTCCCTCTCAATTTAATGGTATGGTCTTCCCTCTCGGTTTAATGATCTGGTCCTCCCTCTCAATTTAATGGTATGGTCCTCCCTCTCAATTTAATGGTATGGTCCTCCCTCTCAGTTTAATGGTATGGTCCTCCCTCTCAGTTTAATGGTCTGGTCCTCCCTCTCAATTTAATGGTATGGTCCTCCCTCTCGGTTTAATGGTCTGGTCCTCCCTCTTAATTTAATGGTATGGTCCTCCCTCTCAATTTAATGGTATGGTCCTCCCTCTCAGTTTAATGGTATGGTCCTCCCTCTCAGTTTAATGGTCTGGTCCTCCCTCTTAATTTAATGGTATGGTCCTCCCTCTCAATTTATTGGTATGGTCCTCCCTCTCGGTTTAATGGTCTGGTCCTCCCTCTCAATTTAATGGTATGGTCCTCCCTCTCGGTTTAATGGTCTGGTCCTCCCTCTTAATTTAATGGTATGGTCCTCCCTCAAGGTTTAATGGTCTGGTCCTCCTTCTTAATTTAATGATATGGTCCTCCCTCTCGGTTTAGTGGCCTGGTCCTCCCTCTCGGTTTAATGGTCTGGTCCTCCCTCTCGGTTTAGTGGTCTGGTCCTCCCTCTCGGTTTAGTGGTCTGGTCCTCCCTCTCGGTTTAGTGGTCTGGTCCTCCCTCTCGGTTTAGTGGTCTGGTCCTCCCTCTCGGTTTAGTGGTCTGGTCCTCCCTCTCGGTTTAGTGGTCTGGTCCTCCCTCTCGGTTTAGTGGCCTGGTCCTCCCTCTCGGTTTAGTGGCCTGGTCCTCCCTCTCGGTTTAGTGGTCTGGTCCTCCCTCTCGGTTTAGTGGCCTGGTCCTCCCTCTCGGTTTAGTGGCATGGTCCTCCCTCTCGGTTTAGTGGCCTGGTCCTCCCTCTCGGTTTAGTGGTCTGGTCCTCCCTCTCGGTTTAGTGGCATGGTCCTCCCTCTCGGTTTAGTGGTCTGGTCCTCCCTCTCGGTTTAGTGGTCTGGTCCTCCCTCTCGTTTTAATGGTCTGGTCCTCCCTCTCAGTTTAATGGTCTGGTCCTCCCTCTCGGTTTAGTGGTCTGGTCCTCCCTCTCGGTTTAGTGGCCTGGTCCTCCCTCTCGGTTTAGTGGTCTGCTCCTCCCTCTTAGGACCACCTTCGCTGCATCCCAGAGGCATCGACAGGCCGTGTCACTGCTGTAGTTCAGCTCGTCACTTTTTAACTTCCATCTTGATTTCATTCTTGAAATCAAGGTTATTTAATTTTCATGTATTTGTATGGTTTTCGGGGTTCCTTTTGGAGTTGATTTCCAATTTCCTCCACTGTGGGCTGAGAGTGTACCTGCTATAATTTTGATTTTCTTAAATTTGCTGAGACTTGTCTTGTGGCCTATTATATGATCTATCTTGAAGAAGGTTCCATGTGCTGATGAATAGAATTATGAACCCCCAAAATCTGAGACAGGCCTCGGCTGATTTAGAAAGTTTATTTTGCCAAGACTGAGGAGACGCACCTGTGATGCAGCCTCAGGAGGTCCTGAAGGCATGTGCTCAAGGTGGTCGGTGTCAGGACTCCATATGCAAGCCGGGAGCCTCAAGTCTGAAGTCCTGCTTGCCTTGGCTGATCGTCTCCCACCCGCCTGCGGTCGCCATTGTCCCTAATGGCACAGTGGAGCTTCCCCTAGGCATAAGCTTCCCCTCACCCACCCTGCCATTTTAACGGTTACTATGATCATGTGACTACTCCTCACCCACCCTGCCATCCTGTTACTATGATCATGTGACTACTCCTCACTCACCCTACCATCCTGTTACTATGATCATGTGACTACTCCTCACCCACCCTGTCATCCTGTTACTATGATCATGTGACTACTCCTCACCCACCCTGTCATCCTGTTACTATGATCATGTGACTACTCCTCACCCACCCTCCCATCCTGTTACTATGATCATGTGACTACTCCTCACCCACCGTGTCATCCTGTTAATATGATCATGCGACTACTCCTCACCCACCCTGCCATCCTGTTACTATGATCATGTGACTACTCCTCACCCACCCTGCCATCCTGTTACTATGATCATGTGACTACTCCTCACCCACCCTGCCATCCTGTTACTATGATCATGTGACTACTCCTCACCCACCCTGCCATCCTGTTACTATGATCATGTGACTACTCCTCACCCACCCTGCCATCCTGTTACTATGATCATGTGACTACTCCTCACCCACCCTGCCATCCTAACTGTTAATATGATCATGTGACTACTCCTCACCCACCGTGTCATCCTGTTAATATGATCATGCGACTACTCCTCACCCACTCTGCCATCCTAACTGTTACTATGATCATGTGACTACTCCTCACCCACCCTGCCATCCTGTTACTATGATCATGTGACTACTCCTCACCCACCCTGCCATCCTGTTACTATGATCATGTGACTACTCCTCACCCACCCTGCCATCCTGTTACTATGATCATGTGACTACTCCTCACCCACCCTGCCATCCTGTTACTATGATCATGTGACTACTCCTCACCCACCCTGCCATCCTGTTACTATGATCATGTGACTACTCCTCACCCACCCTGCCATCCTGTTACTATGATCATGTGACTACTCCTCACCCACCCTGCCATCCTGTTACTATGATCATGTGACTACTCCTCACCCACCCTGCCATCCTGTTACTATGATCATGTGACTACTCCTCACCCACCCTGCCATCCTAACTGTTACTATGATCATGTGACTACTCCTCAGCCACCCTGCCATCCTGTTACTATGATCATGTGACTACTCCTCAGCCACCCTGCCATCCTGTTACTATGATCATGTGACTACTCCTCAGCCACCCTGCCATCCTGTTACTATGATCATGTGACTACTCCTCACCCACCCTGCCATCCTGTTACTATGATCATGTGACTACTCCTCACCCACCCTGCCATCCTGTTACTATGATCATGTGACTACTCCTCACCCACCCTGCCATCCTGTTACTATGATCATGTGACTACTCCTCACCCACCCTGCCATCCTGTTACTATGATCATGTGACTACTCCTCACCCACCCTGCCATCCTAACTGTTACTATGATCATGTGACTACTCCTCACCCACCCTGCCATCCTGTTACTATGATCATGTGACTACTCCTCACCCACCCTGCCATCCTAACTGTTAATATGATCATGTGACTACTCCTCACCCACCCTGCCATCCTGTTACTATGATCATGTGACTACTCCTCACCCACCCTGCCATCCTGTTACTATGATCATGTGACTACTCCTCACCCACCGTGTCATCCTGTTAATATGATCATGTGACTACTCCTCACCCACCCTGCCATCCTGTTACTATGATCATGTGACTACTCCTCACCCACCCTGCCATCCTGTTACTATGATCATGTGACTACTCCTCACCCACCCTGCCATCCTGTTACTATGATCATGTGACTACTCCTCACCCACCCTGCCATCCTGTTACTATGATCATGTGACTACTCCTCACCCACCCTGCCATCCTGTTACTATGATCATGTGACTACTCCTCACCCACCCTGCCATCCTGTTACTATGATCATGTGACTACTCCTCACCCACCCTGCCATCCTGTTACTATGATCATGTGACTACTCCTCACCCACCCTGCCATCCTGTTACTATGATCATGTGACTACTCCTCACCCACCCTGCCATCCTGTTACTATGATCATGTGACTACTCCTCACCCACCCTGCCATCCTAACTGTTACTATGATCATGTGACTACTCCTCACCCACCCTGCCATCCTGTTACTATGATCATGTGACTACTCCTCACCCACCCTGCCATCCTAACAGTTACTATGATCATGTGACTACTCCTCACCCACCCTGCCATCCTGTTACTATGATCATGTGACTACTCCTCACCCACCCTGCCATCCTAACAGTTACTATGATCATGTGACTACTCCTCACCCACCCTGCCATCCTGTTACTATGATCATGTGACTACTCCTCACCCACCCTGCCATCCTGTTACTATGATCATGTGACTACTCCTCACCCACCCTGCCATCCTGTTACTATGATCATGTGACTACTCCTCACCCACCCTGCCATCCTGTTACTATGATCATGTGACTACTCCTCACCCACCCTGCCATCCTAACTGTTACTATGATCATGTGACTACTCCTCACCCACCCTGCCATCTTAACTACTCTTACCGCCCCCCCATTGTAATGGAACTTGTGGTAATGTATACTTCTTGCCCCTACCCCCACCACCCCAGTTGTGCAGATCTGTTGTACTCTGCACAACTGATCGTACTCTGCAACTTTCCATGGCCCACCCCAAACCTACAAAACCAACTCCTATCCCACTGCCCTCTGCTAATGTCCTTTTTGGCGTAAGCCCACCTGCACCCAGGTGAATAAACAGCCATGTTGCTCACACAAAGCCTGTTGGGGGGGTCTCTTCATTCAAAGTGCAGCTTTTTAACAGAGCACAGTTTGGTTTTATATATTCTAGGGGGACATGAGACATCAATCAAGATGATGAACATTGGTTCAGTCTGGAAAGGCGGGACAACTCGAAGCAAAGGCGGGAGACTCCCAGGTCAAAGGTAGACAGGAGGCAAACAGTGGCGTTCTTCTGAGTTTCTGATTAGCCTCTCCAAAGCAGGCAATCAGGTACGCATTTATCTCCGTGAGCAGAGGGGCGACTTTGAGCAGAATGGGAGGCAGGTTGGCCCTAAGCAGTTCCCAGCTTCAGTCTTCCCTTTAGCTTAGTGATTTGGGGGCCCCAAGGTTTCTTTCTTTCTTTCTTTTTTTTGAGATGGAGTTTTGCTCTTGTTGCCTCTGATGGGCACAATTCCATCCTCTTTTACTGTATACTTTTCCTCCTCAAACTTCTTTTTAACATGTCTTGGCTTAGCTGTTCTGCCTGAGACTCAACGAAAAAGCTCCTCTTTCTTCCTTCTGTTTTTTTTTTTTTAACTCTTTTTCTCTCTCTCCTGAGGAGGGAACTGTGGGAAGTAAAAAAGTTCCTCTGCAAGGTTTCCTTTCTTGTTAAAGAATAAATTTGCGGCCAGGTGCAGTGGCTCACGCCTGTAATCCCAGCATTTTGGGAGGCTGAGGCGGGTGGATCACCTGAGGTCAGCAGTTCGAGACCAGCCTGGCCAACATGGTGAAACCCCGTCTCTATTAATAATAATAAAAAAAAGAATAAGTTTGCTAATAACTGTTTGTTAAGCCCTATCCTATCCAGCTGTTAGACATGCTGTGCTTTATAGGCATGTAGAATATTCCATGTCCTTGTACGTTAACTGAGATATCTGTGCTGGACGTGCTCACAGGCATTTCCCAGCTTGCAGCCTATGCCCCTTACCTGTTTAGAAAAGTTTTAAGTTATTAGCCGATCGGGTTTCAGTTTAGATTGTGAGGCCTGGCTCCAACCAAGGGAGATCAGACTCGACAGTAAAGTGGACCCCAAATGCGTAAGAGAAAAATACATCTGCTTTTCCTTTGTTCCTTTGTTCGTTGTACTCTCGTGGCAAGATGGCTAGCGAAGGTACCCCTCCTGCAGGGCAGGAAGTAAAAATTGCTTTGCTGGGGGACCCTTTGTGTCAGTGCTGATTTTTCTATGCTGGACCCAGCATCTGTTTCCAACATTTGGCCTCCGGAAGTGCTGGGATTACAGGCATGAGCCACCACGCCCAGCCAAAGACCCTGCTTTTTGTTAAAAGGGAAATTTAACTGTGGATCCCGCTGTCCTTACTATGTGCTTGAATAATTCCTTTTTAGCTCCCATATCACCAAGAATTGAAACCTTGTAACTCAATGTCACGAGAACTTTTAAAGCGCACACAGAAAGACAGACTAAAAAAAGGTACAAAGAAGGTCTGGTGGTGCTAGAGGGAGACTGAAGATGGAAAATCTCCAAGTTAAACGTGAAATCGCAGAAGTTATCAGAGGGTTGTATAAGATCGATTTTATTTAGTTACGGACTACCAATATTTTTCGACCAGATCCCTGAGCTCTGGGCAGAGTCTCCAAAAAGGGAGAATTATTATGGGGCTAGAGCACGTGATGCTTTTATACTGCACCGAAAAAAATGCTTTTTAAACAAGACATTCCTAAGTGTCTAGCTTCCAGGTTGCAGCATCCTAGGGCCGACACGGTACCTCGGGGCTGCAGAGACGTCCCAGGTGTCTAAATGACGCTGTTCCTTAAAACCGCAAGAGTAGGCCGGGTGCAGTGGCTCATGCCTGTAATCCCAGCCAGCACTTTGGGAGGCCAAGGCAGGCAGATCAGATCACCTGAGGAGACCATCCTGACCAACATGGAGAAACCCCATCTCTACTAAAAATACAAAATTAGCTGGGCATGGTGGCACATACCTGTAATACCAGCTACTCCGGAGGCTGAGAGAGGAGAACGGCATGAACCTGGGAGGCAGAGCTTGCAGTGAGCAAGAACGAAGCTCCATCTCAAACAAACAAACAAACGAAAACCATGAGTAGCCTCTGTTGCAATAATTATTTTAGTAAAAAAAAAATAATAGGTGAAAACAGAATTCAGTCAACTAGAAGAAAAAAAACTTTTGCTCAAAAAAAAAAGACAAGGTCGTAGGAGAGAAAGACAAACAAAAACGTAAAGACCTTTTAATACACACACACACACACACACACACACACACACACACACCCTCTATGCTAGCCTTTTACTTAAGCTGATTTTTAACCATTGAGCTCCTTAAGAAAAAAAACTTTCAAAATCTCATTCGCGGCTGGGCAAGGTGGCTCACGCCTATAATCCCAGCATTTTGGGAGGCTAAGGCAGGCAGATCACCTGAGGTTGGGAGTTCGAGACTAGCCTGACTAACATGAGTGAATGAAACATGAGGAGTGAAACCCCATCTCCACTAAAAATACAAAATTAGCCTGGCGTGGTGGTGCATGCCTGCAATCCCAGCTACTCAGGAGGCTGAGGCAGGAGAATTGCTTGAATCTGAGAGGTGGAGGTTGCAGTGAGCCAAGATGGCTCCATTGCACTCCAGCCTGGGCAACAAGAGTGAAACTCCATCTCAAAAAAAAAAAAAAATCTCATTACCAAATTTTAGCTAGGACAAATTGCTGCTATTTCAGAAGTAACGGGTATCCAACCAGAAAGGGCTTGATTTAGAAACCAAACCCAGGCTGTCATGGTGAAAAAAAATGCATGGTGAGCTCCCGGGAGCAGGGGAACCACCAGGTTGCCTAAGGAGGGGTGAACTGGCCCAGGTTGGAAACAGAGCAGGTCAAAACTCCTGTCCTGATCGTAGTGGGATTGCTCCTGTGAAAAGCCACTGCACTCCAGCCTGGGCTACATAGCGAGACCCCGTCTCTGAAAAGCAAACAATGCAGCCTTATCAATGGAACTGCACTCCAGCCTGGGCTACATAGCGAGACCCCGTCTCTGAAAAGAAAACAATGCAGCCTTATCAATGGAACTGCAGAGTGGGGTGACAGCCACTGCCCTTTCAGTCTGGCATGCCTAGCCAAAAGGTGGCCTTGTTATGTAAATAAAGCCCCTTAAATAATCAAAATCAAAAATCTTTCTCTTTCCCCCACTTTTACGGTCCATTTTTCTCCTCCTAGCACACCACCTTTTTTGTGGGTGTGGGAATGTCGCTACTTAGAGGCTTGGTTCCCATAATCTGAAACTTTCCTTTAGATTCGATCTCATCAGATACAGTTGGTCAAGCCCAATGGGAAAAAGACTGAAACAACAACAAAAACAGAGGGAAAGACAGAAGAACAGCAACAAACAAACCATCATACAGCTTGTGTGATTACTGAGTGTTCTGATGGGAAGGAGGAATTCAGACCAAGTCAAACGCCAGTTCCGTTCCTTACCCAGGGGTGGGTCTCGGGCTGTAGGCTGCTCTCTACCATCCCAGAAGCAGGGTAAAATTTACTCATCTTCCCTGTTCGAAGCAAGCTCAAGCTCTGTTAGGGAGTTATCTGCCTTCCATCATCATGAAAACAGGAAATCTTCCCTTCCTTGTTGGAAGCAAGTCAAACTTCAAAAAAAGTGGAGTTGTACAGCAAAAATAAACTCTAGATCTCAATCAAATTTGGGGAGATCAGGGATTCTTTGGAGGAGGTACTTTCGAACCTCAGCAAATTTTCCTGTTGGTTTGAGCCATAAAGTTAGCTCTTTCTGGTCCCAAGCAATGATAGGTGATTCAAAGTCAGAGGCATCTCCACCCAGGATCTCCCCGTGGTCACCAAAATGTGAACCCTGAAAATCTGAGACAGGTCTCAGTTAATTTAGAAAGTTTATTTAGCCAAGGTTGAGGATGCAGTGACATAGACTCAGGAGGTCTTAATGACATGTGCTTAAGGTGGTCACAGCACCGTCTGGTTTTATACATTCTAGGGAGACATGGGACATCTATCAACATGTACAAGATAAACATTGGTTTGATATGGAAAGGCGGGACAACTGGGAGAAAAGGCAGAGTTGGGAATAAGTGCTTATCTTCCAGTGTCACAGGGAAGAATCAGCATTCAGATAAAAGGTTTCTCCGCATGGCTTTGTTTTACTTTCTGCAGAAAGGGTACTGCTGGCCAGCAGTCTTGCCATGAGCGTACACTGAACAAAGGAAGAGCAGGCATATTTGTGTCTCATGAGTTCGGCCCTATCGCTGTGTCCTGATTCCATTGGCTGGAATTCCATAGTCTATCTAGGCTATACCTGATTGGCTAACAACTTAAAACTTTCCTGAAGAGGTCAGGGCAGAGGAGAACAAAGGAAAAGAGGAAGCAGCTTAGGGAATGCTGAGAGAGGCAAAAATACTTCTAAATAAGGAAAGAGGAACAAGCTATGACGGAAGCCTTGCCTGGGCTTATCCAGGCATTTCAGGGTAGATATCTATGCTAAAGTGTAAGAACTAAGAACACAAAATACACTGATTTCTTTATTTTAGCTAGCAGATGTGACAAAGGCCTTTGAGTAGATTAACCTAGAGAAAGAGACTACTGTTATTCTTAACAGGCTAAGAGAATTTGAGGAGGAACCTTCGTTTATTTCACTTTCTACAGGCGGGAAGGCTCGAAGCAGGGAGGGGCTTCCAGACGACAGGTAGCTGGGAGACACGTGGTTGCATTCTTTTGAGTTTCTGATTGGTCTCTCCAAAGCAGGCAGTCAGAGATGAGTTTATCTCCATGAGCAGAGGGGTGACTTTGAACAGAATGGGAGGCAGGTTGGCCCTAAGCAGTTCCCAGCTTGACTTTTCCCTTCAGCTTAGTGATTTGGGGACCCCACAATTTATTCACCTTTCATAGAATGTATATTCTGCAGTTCTGGGTAGAATGTTCTGTGAATGTCTGTTAAGTCCATTTGTTCTCGGGTATAGTTTAGTCCATTGTTTCTCTGTTGACTTTCTGTCTTGAGGACCTGTTTAGTGTTGTCAGTGGAGGACTGAGGTCCCCTACTATCACTGTGCCGCCCTCCATCTCATTTCTTAGGTCTAGGAGTAATTGTTTTATGACTTTTTTTTTTTGAGACAGAGTTTCGTTGTTTTGTTGCCAGTTACCAGGCTGGAGTGCAGTGGTGCGATCTCAGCTCATTGCAACCTCAGCCTCCCAGGTGCAAGAAATTCTCCTGACTCAGCCCCCCAAGTAGCTGGGACTACAGGCATGTGCCTCCCTGCACAGCTAATTTTTGTATTTTAGTAGAGATGGGGTTTCACTATGTTGGCCAGGATGGTCTTGATCTCTTGACCTCATGATCTGCCCACCTCAACCTCCCAAAGTGCTGGGATTACAGGTGTGAGCCACCGTGCCGGCAAGTTTTTTTATAAATTTCAGAGCTACAGTGTTAGGTGCATAGTTATTACCATTGTGAT